TATATATATATATAAATATCGGCCACCTTTATGATACGGCCTTCTGTACAAATGGCCCCCACTTTCCATTCCCCGTGCGTGTTTTTTTTTGGGGGGGGTGTTTTGTTTTTGGTGTGGGTTTTAAAAAAAATAATAGCACGGCGTAAAACTATAGTCTGTCCGACACGGCCGTGGCCACATTAATTTATCATCCAACAACCCGACAAAAAACCTACCTAAGATGGCCATGCAAAACTCCTATTGCCCGACGCTATGTCACAAATTATACACGTACATATGCGTCGGTCCCTGATGCTGTAAGAGAGCCGTCTTAATCCTTTCACCTGGGATTCTTGTTAGGCTCTCCAGAAAATGAACCATTCATGGTGCGAAGGTCCCTCTTACTATTTACTCAAGTAGACCAGCCAGTCACAAATTTTCAGCTGCTAGTGTGATCCGTCATTACCTAAGTTTCTTAGCTATAACATAATAATTTTAGTAAGAGTTTTTCGGAACTTGCAAAACAATATGGTCATATACGTGCCGAAGATTAGAGGTGTTACAAGGGGGTAACGAACACAATAAAAGGAGGGGAGATAAAGATGATAGATGTGTGACAGGAAAGAAGGAGAAAACCACACCAGAGTAGAGCTGTGCCCATTCGACTTTACTATTCGACATTCATGATTTTTGCACTATTCACTGCTATTCGAAACGTGGTAGAGCCATTCGAATGCCATGTGGTTTTTTTGAAAAACAGAAACTGGATTTTCGTCTCATTTTTCTCAAACGTTGAAAAATTGGAGCACATTATATCTAAAATCATTAAGATAAATATACAGAAATACTCTTTACTTGATGGTTACGAGACAGGCGCAGTGAATGTTGTTTTTTTTCATGAAGTTAGCTGTCGCAATGAGCTCCCCTAATCCTACTCGAAATTCGAAGCGCTATGAACAGTGAACTGATGTCAACACGTTGCACTGTCTGCGCGCATGCGACAACAACACACGCGCGCTCAGTGACTGTCGTTGAATAGCGCAAGTTAGATCTGGACTATCACAATAATTATAAGAAAAAACAATTCGACGGCGCTTTGAAGTTAGATCTGGGCTTATCACATATAAGAAAATATAATTCGACGGCGCTTCGAATTGCGGAAGTTATGTCTGGGCTTATCACATAATATAAGAAAAAAACCATTCGATGGCGCTGTGAATAGCTAGCGAATGTAGAATAGTGGCACTTAGGTCTGGGTTTACGCTTATCATGATATATCAGAAAAAAGCATTTGACGGAGATATTCGAATGTCATGAATAGTGAGCTCACGCTTCTTCGAAGCTTCGATGATTGTTTGTTTCCTCAAAATAGCAGAGCCACCCGCCAACCACCCGCTTAGCCATAACAGAGCTTAGGTCATAACCTAAAAGCCCAGCCACAATTCATAATATTCATACTCTCGTACAAATCATAAGTGAGATAAGCAGTCGCTCTGTTTACCTAAAGCGTAATAGGGGGTGCCCATATACGCGATCGGGTCGAGTCGGGTCGGGTCGGGCCCATCGGGTAGTCAGGGATAGCCAAATTGAGGGCGCAAAGCGGCCATCGTGGCACAAACCGATCGACGCGATCGGTGACCTACAAAAACAAACGCGTTTGTTTTCTGGTCTGCGAATCGCGCAATCGGGTGGTTTGCAGCCAATCACAACAAGTCTGAGTCACGTGTCCATTTTGACCCATGAATACATTAAGGAATACTCTGGCCTCGATTCGACTCATTTTGGAAGGAAATTTGCATCTTTAAGTACATTTTTGCTTCTTCATTGCACTTTACATGATCAATAAAATTGTATCTCTTTATAATATGTTGTACAATAGCAGATTTGGGCTGAAAAAAACAGCAGAAAAAATTTAATGAAAGCACTTGACCTAGATCTAGATCTAGATTATTTCGTTCTCAGGAGGGCTAAAAATAGGCCATGTTAGACCAAGAATCTAGCTATGGACGTGTCTAGATCTACGTTCTCTACCATTGTTTAGTGCTTCCAATTTTCCGACAATTTTTAGTTTTCTCCAGACCTTATCTACAGGTTCACTAGATCTAGGCCTAGATTCTAGATTTACATCTCGATTTATTATGTCGCTTTGCATTTCCTGAAACAGTGCTGTAAATATGAAGCTTAATCTACCCTTGCTGATGAAAGTTCATCAGTTCATCGTGTACATTTTGCAAAGCATTTATCGTGCCTCACCTCGGAGATGAACCTCAAGAAAGATATTTTAATGGGCCAAAGAAGTGTTAGATCGTATTTCTGGTTACCTTGTAACGTTTTTTCCCCCGTTATTGCGAAATGTCTTTCTAGGTCACTTGTCCTCTTTTCATTCACGGACAAAGGCGGGGACTGTCGCGGTCTAGAGCTAAGGAAATCGTCTCTCATTCAATAGGTCCCAGTTTCGAAACCTGACAGCGGCGATAAACTTTCTTGTCTAAAAGTTTCTCCTTTCTCGTTCTAGTTCTTTTCTGTCTCCGGTTTTTTCTCCACTTTCTCCCCC